AGAAGAAGAAGAAGAAGAAGAAGAAGAAGAAGAAGAAGAAGAAGAAGAAGCTACTCACAGCATGAGGTGAAGTTCCTCCAGCCCGTGACTGCTATCCCCTGGGTTTGGCAAGTGCTGGCATAATTTTGCAGCCAGCTGCAAGCTGTCTGCACTGCTCCACCATCAATGCAGGTGTCAAATAAGCAGTTCTTGTAGAAGAAGGCTGGGTTGACCTTACTGTGACACCTGGAGAAGACACCACTCTTGCTAGGAATCAAACTGCACAGCTGCTGAGGCTTCCAGAAGCCTTCTACCTTACGACAGGTTGGGCACCTATCACCACAGCCAGCCTGGCAAAAAGGGTCCCGCTTGGCCCAGCTGTGGCCAAACTCATTAATGCTGGAGACCACAAAGCCACCAGAGGTCTGAAGATCATCCTCAGGGTTGCCATTGTATCTCCCGCAAAGGCCATATGTGCTATTTTGGAGGTTCCGTGGAATTGTGATGGAGAGGAAGGTCCTCCAGTCATACACCACCTTCAGCCCAAAATCGGTCTCTATAATGATGTGGAAGCCGAAGGTGAATATGTTGATCTTCCCTTGGCCCAGCTTCAATGGCAAGTAAAGACGTTCCTTGTTGATCTGCAAAAAGGCACAAGGAAAGTCAGTGAAAGAGAGCAGTTGAAGGAGGCATGCTGTCAGCGTTTGCAGCATGACTACTATTGTGAGACAACCCAGGAGCAAAACACATCACACAGAGGCTTAGACATTAACAGTGGTTTATATACAAGACATATACAGAAATATACGTGGTAGGCAAATACCTGACAAGCAATCAATCTTCTGAACTCTACACGGAGAACTCTGCAATTGATACAGGAACAAGAAGAGAGAGATACACCCTCTAATGGTTGCCTTATATAAACACCTTTTAAAGTGGTAAAATTTCTGTGGACCCCCTTCTTAGTCTACAACCGGCAAAAGCAATGCTGATTCATCTTCATTGCATCAGCCTTACACTGCATCAGCTTTACAGCAGCTGGTCAGCTCTTAAATCCCAATACCGTTTTTGCTTCGAAGAAAGACCAGCTGACGTAGGAACCCCAGGTTTAAACCCTCACTCCACAGGAGACGCTTACTGCCTATTTTTGGCAAGGTCTCCATATCTCTGCAGGATTTTCTTATAGTCAGGTTAAAAATCCAGTTCAGTTTGCATCACTTGAACACAGCGAGATCCTGGACAACCAAGCAAGGTCAGACCTGATTAATACTGAGAAGAAATGCCATTGGGAAAACCAAGGCTAGACAGGAAAATTAAAAAGTAAACCCACTAAAAGATAATAATAAACAGAAAATTACACAGACAGGATCAAGAGGAGGCCACAAAGTCCAATTCAACCTGGTGGACTTTCTATCTTCACACGTTAAACCCCAAAATTAATTGGTCTGGGGTGGTTTCAACCTCTGATCCTGATGAAGGCAATGGAGGAAAGAACTCTCTATTAACTTACAAGCACAGTATGTTTGTAGGCTCGATGGATCACAATGCTGTAGCTGAAAACTTCCACTTCCACCTGCTTCACCCACAGAGCCAGAGAAGGGTCTCGATCTTCATTCTTGGCAACCACTGTAAACTCAGGGAAAGTATCGGACCTCTCGGACCTCTGGCGGTCAATGGTGGTGCAGAGGACCAAAGGACAACTGCTCTGAAAGTCAAACGCAAATCCATCGAAGGTCAAGTAATGGCTGTAGCCGGAAATGATGCAGGAGGCATCTGTGCGGGCCTGGCAATAATATAAGCCATTCTCCTCCAGGCAGTATTCATCCTCTTTGCAAGGGAGGTTCTCACAGCGCACACTGTTGTCAGAGCCATTGCAGTAGCAGAAGTACTGACAGTCGATGTCCATCCAGAAGGACTGATTGGTGGAGAGCTGGTGGCCCTCAAAACTGCAGCCGCAGTCGCTACGGAGAATGCATTGGGTGCCCTGGAGCACAAAGCCTTTGTCACACTGGCAACCCTCCACACAACTGTCCAGGCAAATGGGCCCCATGCTCAGAGTGTCACAGGATTCAGAGCAGGACATGCATTCCTCAAAGTGGCTGTTCTCAGGACAGGCAAGCGCTGGAAGAAAAGAAAGGGAGTTAGTGGGTTCAGTCCTAACCTATACGACATGGGAATCCTATTAGGTTGAGAATGATGATCTTTGTTATTTAATGGCATCAAAGTCTTAGGGCCTTTTGACCTAAAAGGTTCATGATGTTGACCAATACTCCAACAACTTAACTTCCTATGGGAAACAGGATGAAGATAGGAATCTCCCCCCACTTCCCAACTTACGGCAAAAGGTTAAGCTTCTCCACTGGCCAATGTCCACTTCCGCATTCTTACACGCGCTGGCATAGCGAGCTACCGAGTCGCAGAGCTCTGACTCATTTCCTCCACTCTGGCACAGACGGAAAATGCAGGTCCTGTAATATGTGGACACATTCACCACAGAGTGGCACTCCAGGAATGAGCTGTTGGTGGGGTCATTGATGACTCCACATTTGGAGCGGCTGCGGTAGTCTTTCAGAAGCTCTGAATCATTGTTGCAGGCCTTGAGAAGGTCGCCGCATTCCCCGTTGCAGATCTCATTGAAGGTTGTCCAGCTGTCCAGGAAAACCACCAGGTTATCTGTGCATTTCCCGTTGGGAAGACAGAATTCATCACTGCTGTTTCCATTGAAATAGCCACAGAGGCCTCCAGTACAGTTGAAATACGTGGTGGAGAGAGATATCTCCAAGATGCCCAAGTCTGAATAGTGGATATGGATGAGTCCATCCAATTCAACAACAGTCCCATTTTTATTCCGGTAGATTTCTAGTTGCCCAGAAGGGTGGAAATATGGAAGCTCCATTTCATATCCATTCACCTGCAAAGGAAAACGGGCAAAGAAGAGGCAACAATGAATGAAGAAACTAAAGAATCCCATGCTATCTTCCTGTTCTTCCTTTGAGTAGTGAGGCATCAGCAGAATTGCGCAATGGAAGCCAACAAGAAGACACACTTCATAGGGAGATAGATTATAGGTCTACAGCTGAAGTTACCTGCCAAATATACGCTGAAGGGCATTTAAACTTGGGCTACCCAGAAAGCAGGACTTGAACACATTTTTTAAGAGAGAAGATTTTGGGAATCGAAAAAAGTTTTTCACATTATATAGCAACTTTCCATTAAATTTAAGAGTAAGCACCAACCATTCTCATTTCTGAAACACAACGATTTACAGAGCAGACGACTTTTCAAACCCAACTTGGCCTTCATTTGCTCATATAGTTTAAGCATAGATTTAAAACAGCTTTTTATCATCTCAAAACACCCACAGATCTATTTCAGAATGCTGCTTCTAGAACCTAGGAACTGAAGTCCCGACTTATGTGGAGATCACTTGATTGGGATGATGGATCTGTATGTATTTTTCTATCTCAAAGGAATTACAAGCTATTCTTGGAAGCCAAGCGTTGCCTTCAGCTCATGCCATTATCCCAGAGTGACAGTACTAGATTTGTGATACTCAGGGAAAGTTCCAATATCAGTCATTCAAAAAGAAAATAGAAGACCCCAACCCAAGAAAGAGACACTTGATTTGATAGGCATATGAGAGAAGCAACAGTTGTAGAGGTAGACTTACTGGAAAGAACAGAAAATACAACTGACGTGGGTGGAAGGCACACCCACACACCCACGCACACACATAAAATAGATCCTGACAATTACAGCAAATACAATCCAAGGTTGTTGGATTTTACTTCTTTTTACAATGAAATGTCATCTTGAGATTGGCAGGAGGTGACAATAGAATAGAAAACATCTTTCCTCTGTGCTGTGTTCATACATGCAAAGAGAAAGCAGGAGCCGTGTTCCGTGGTTCTGCTAGTGTGGACAATACGTTTAAAATAAACTGTCAGATGCTTCCTTTTTGTAAAGCTATCCACCTGGTGGCAGTGTCACCTACAAGATGGCTGAGAAGCAACATTTCTACAAGGCTGCACATTTTGAAGAGCAGAACTGAGTTTCTTGAAAGTTGCAAAACCAAGGAAAGCGATCTTATCCCATGGGGTTTTTTTTTGTCCAATGGAGGAGATCCGTTGGTTTCCCCAAAGAAGCAAGTAATCTATTGACTAGACAAAGGTTGCAAGACGAGGAGTGGGCAGTCATGAATTTATATTAAACCAATTGCAGAGCGTACCATTGTTTTTCCAAAAAGAAATGCATTTCCATCACTTTTAGGGGAACCCTTTATTAATGTTGACTCAGTTGGTGATAAGAATAGCCATCTAGATTCCAAGAGGACAACCACGTATATTTACATCCATTTACCTGTATCATATCAGTAATTCTGCACAATGGGACCATTATCCACATGCTTGGATACACACAACATAGAGAGAAAGCAGAGATAGATAGCTCAGGTCGTCTATCCATCACTTTTCTTATGGTGGTGATGAAAGTCTGCAGTGAAGCTACATGGTATGTTTGCCCGAACCTGGCTATAATTCTTCATGATTGAAAATCTCACAAAATCAGGATTTCCGTGTTGAAGACAACTGTTCTTCCATTCTGTCAACTTAATTACAATTTATTACGGATTTTACACATCAAGCTCCCATGCTTTGTATTACGAGAAGCTCTTTATCTCTTAAAAGAGATCAAACTTAATCTTCCCATACTGTAATTGCATGAATGCAATTTGCAGGTCATGAGAACATAAATTGCCCCCTGCTGGATTGGACCCCTGGTCTGACTAATCCGAAAGTCTGTACGTATAATGGTCAAACAACTGCACAAGGAAGCCTACAAAACTCCCAACAGATGGCCTTCAGAGACAGTCCAGTGCCATCAAGTCTAATGGTTATTGATCCCATCAGGTCTGGCACTATTTTATTGGCTATGTAAATAGAAGCTCTAGTCAATGAGATGGCTTCAGGCTACAACAAGAGTTTAATTCTTTCTTTATTACAGCCCAAGCTGACATTTTTCAATTTGAAATATTCTGGATGCATTGAGGCTGCCCCTCCCGTACCAAAGATCACAGCCATTTGGAAGAATTCATGCTGGGGAACCAAATCAACAATCATCTCTCTCTCTACAGACTATGACCCAATTTTCTGTCAGACCAGAGTAGGCAGGATTATTAGTTTCATCCTCTGAAAAGTTCTTTAATTGTACCCTTGCAACTATTAGACATTTTAGGTTTTGCCCTTTGCGTGGGGAGTGGGGGGAGAATCAAAGTTGGACATCTGTGAAGAACAGAGACATTTTGTCTCTGTAAAAGAATTTCACATTTGGGGAAAGCGAAGAAGCAAAGACATCTTTTAACTTGAAGACACAAGCAATTATTTCAATGGTCAGCAAGGGCAGAGCCAAACGGAGGTTGTTTGATCATGTCTCTAAACTCTTCCTGTATCTTCCACGATGAGCATAAAAATTGACAGGCAGATGTCTAATGGGATGAAAATGTCAGCACCAGATGCAGCTAATGAGACATTTGAACATATGTGAGGTGCTGCCTCTGCAGATGTAGAAAAAAGAACCACAAGGAAATTTCACTGGGGTTAAAGAAGCACGGGTAGCAGACAAAATGAAGGGCAACAAATACCCCATTTATACATGAATCATCCATCCTGCATAATTCTCTCCCAGAATCTGATTCCTCCATTAGCGCTTTGTCTTCTGAGTTCATTTGATAGTCACCTCCCTCCTATCTGTTGGTTTACACCAACTATCCTTGGAGAGGAACCAGGGACACTTCTTGGCTAGATGCCCAAGAAGATTCTCAATCATCCAGGTATAACTTGGAAACTTTCCCCAGACTGATATCCTGCAGATGTAGTAGATCTAGCTCCAATCATCCTGAGATCAGGAAAGGCTGGCTCATCATGAACATTTCTCAAGAGTGTGTTATTAAATAGTGTTCTGAAATTAAGAGCAATGACCTAAGCCCCGCTCCCTTTGAGTCTATCACCCACCAAAATATCCCTACCTTGATTTCAGAGTTGTCTACACCACCAATCTTAACATCGTGGTTGGCAACTTGGATCATCAAGGTACGAAGCCAGTCAGAATTCGAGTCTGGTTTCTTTTTGCTGATGTCCACTTCCAGGTAAGTGGGCCTGTCCGGGCATGTTTTTACCAAGGTGTAAGAATTGTCCGAGGGATAAACAAAGCCAACTCCATCAAAAGTGTGCAGGACTTGATCCTGAGAAACCAAACACAAAGTCTCCCGCTTGGGGTAACACCCTTGATAGCCTTTCTCGACTGTACACACTTCTCCTTCCTGACAAGTGGCATTGAAACAGTTGACATCTCCTTCTTCTTCACACCAGCATTGCACTGTGCAGTCCACAGAAGCCCAGAAGGATTCCCCCACAGCATGGTAGCGGCCATCCACATCGCAACCACACTCTTGAACAGGGACACAGGTGTCAGTGCTGAGAACATAGTCTTCGACGCACTCACAGCCTTCAGTGCAAGGAGAGTTGCAGTTCAAAGGGGCCGTTAAATCCGAGCAGGTGGCTGGGCAGCTACTAGTACAGATGGAGTAGTGGCTGAACTCTGGACAGCTTACAGCAGTTGCTGAAAAAGGCAAACAGGACAGTTGAGTTAATTAACACAGCAGTTGGTGATTTAGAACGGCGGACATATTGAGTCTCCAGCTTGGTGGTTAGCACCGAGTCAACTTTGGATGACCTTGAAATAAGCTATACAGGGTTGTCTCTCATTCCTATTTGGATGTGAGTCCCTCTGAAAAAAACCCAAGCCCTAGGCAGCAACAGCAAAATAATTCTATACAGTTGCCAAGAAAACTAGGCATGAAGTCATCAAGAGTTGAGTTTGAATCAAGGGAGGCTTACTGAACACGTACTTTTTCCAAAGGACTAGAAACCAGGAAGAAACACAGACAAAAAGCAAAAAAGGAAAAGAAATGTAGGCAGATTGTTCACTATTAACTGTAGTCCAATTTACACATGACACATTTTTGAAAATAAAGCGTACAAGGGTACAGACCAATGACCAAACAAATGGGAAAGAATAGCTAAGTTAAGCAAGAGAATCCCTCAAGTTGTGTCTGAATTATGAAACCTTTTTATTGTTACTCTTTCTAGGAGTTCTGTGATTCAAATATGGACAAAAGCATCATTCAAAGGCAATAAACCTGCTATTTCTACTCTCTTTGGTCAAATTATAGCCAAGATCATCTCCTCAAGAGCTGGTTGCTCTTATTTAACATCTGATAATCATATGGACAGTTTTCTGTTTGGGCACAAGTAGCTCGATGCCCTTCCTAACTCAGATTGAACAAGTAAAAGTCAATGGCCTGGAAACCCTGCACGAAGCAGTGGAGCTCTGCAATTTTCCTGGATCTGTCTGAAAGGCCAATGCTTGGTGACTTACCGCATCCTGTCTGCCCTCTCCAGTCTCCAATCGGGATCCCTAAGGCCTGGCAAACCAAGGCGTAGGCTTGAATGGCTTGGCAAAGTCCTCCTGTGCCATTATCACGGATGCTGCACAAATCATACACGCAGCTGTGCACAAATGCCATGGGGTCGACAATGGCCCCACATTCCCACAAAGGGCCTCCCGTTTTGTTGATGAAGCCACAGTACTCGGGGCCGAAGTAGAGAGACTCCATCGCCATGTCACAAAGACTACAATTGTCTAAGCAGCCCGGGGAGCACTTCCATTCAGGATGATAAACCCTCCAGCTCTCTCCCAGATCCAGGACAGAAGTGGCCAGTTTCCCATCGGAGCGCAGGACATCATCTTCAGGATTCTTGTTGTAGTTCCCACACAAGCCACAGGTAGCATTAATGTAGGAGCCGGGAACTGAAATGGCAGCATAATGGTCGCCGTCATAGGTCACCAAAAGGCCAAAGTCAGTTTCCACAGCGGTCGACATGCCACTCTGATAGATTTTTATGGCTCCCAGTTCCAAAAAGACAGGCAGAGACATGACCAAGTCATCTATCTGTGACACGGATAGAAAGTTGACATTTATCATCCTCGTCATCCAGAATGAGAAGATTAAAAATGGATTTATTTACTAGCGTTGTATATAAATCTTCTATTGCTACAATTATCATTGTCAATACAAATTAAGTAGCTAATGTTTATTGAAGTAGTGCAAAAAAAAATGTAAAGAAAGTATTGAAACACTCAGTCTAGATCCCATGTCTGTAAGGTGTTAGGGAGGAAAAATAAAAAGAGAATCGAAAAAGACCTCAATTCCCCAGAGAGTAATTGAGTAGGTTCAGGACCCTCTTGGCAAGTTTAAGATATGTGGACTTCAACTCCCAAAATTCCCCAGTCAGCCATGGTGGCTGACTTTCTTGGAGTTGAAGTCCGCATAGGACAGGGCTGTCAAACTCACAAGCCGCAGGCCAGATGGCCACGCCCACGCCTGGTTTAGCAAAGGGGGGGGAAAGTCACAATACATCCTGTGACTACGCTGTGACGACACAAGTTTGACACCTCCTGACGTAGTAGAAGGAATTTGAAATGGTATGCGGGCATGAACTTGGAAGGCAGGGGGAAGAGCTGCAGTCAAGGCAAGTCCAATAAGAGGCTGTGATCAGATAAGAGGAAGCTGAATAATAGGCAGAATAATATTCAGCAGCTGAATAATAGGCAGAGAAAACAAATATCAGAAAGGATCCTCCATAACTTACCAGGCTCTAAAAAGAGACAGTGGGAGATTTGTACATTCAGACATGCATGATTCTGTTACGTAGACTTATAATAAACAGAGCTGGCTTCTTCTGGGTGTGCTTCTTAACTGGTCTACCTGGGTAGGCTGGCATCCATCTTGCAAATCTGAAAATACATTTCTTCCATTTCCTTCATAGTCAAGAAACTGGGGTGGGTCCCTTCTGAGATGTTTGCCATGCCCACATTCCTGTTGCGAGCCAAACACCCTCCTACCTGTCTTGTCACCCTACCTGTGACTCGTCCCCATGCCTCTCAAGGTCATTCCCCACGTCCCATTACAAAATTAGGGAGTACACGCACTCAGCCATAGCTTCTCCCAAAAGCAGCTGTATTTTCCGATCATAAACAAACGATGTCGCATCGCGGACTGAAGTACAATGTCACATCATGTCATACCCAATTGTTGAATTGTTGCTTATTGCAAACTTTTTGGGGGAATCAGCTGCTCTAAAGCTACTCCCCGCTTGGGACTGTTGGCCAGCCATCACCGCTTAAATGATACGTCTAGACAACTGCTTGTTTCTGGGGATTAACCCGGACTTCTGTCAGATCGAAGATGGCAAGCACACTTTTCTATTATCCAAAATAATAACCTTGAAAGGATACGGTGTGCAAGTAATGTGCATTCAAACTATGCAGGATTTTACTTCCAGCGTAGGTTTTACTAATGTCCCTGGCTGCCTTCCTGGACGATTATGGAAGATAAAAGCCAACCTATATGATGGGCATTAGTGGGAGGGAAAAAAAACTGATTCTGTGATGTGACATTTTCCATATTAGCGCCATTAGATGAAAAAAAAAATCAAAACATCCCAGAAATTAATAGAGCCTTCGATTTTCTAAGCTAGCTGACAGCTGCATGTTTTTATTTTAATGAGGACTGCTTTTTTTTCCCCCTTCAGTTTTTTCTTTCCAGATACATCCAGACAATGGAAGGATGTCATGACATCTAGGCCAGGGTGTCACTCAATTTCAATGAGGGCCGTATCAGGGTTGTGTTTGACTTTAAGGGGGTGGGGGGGCATGGCCGGGGGGGGGGCGGGCATGACCAGCTCAATATCACTCATGTCAGGGGCGCTGGTGGTGGCCTGAGCACTCTGCCACCAAAAATAGGCTCCCAAACTCCGTTTTCAGCTGCAACAGCCTCCTGCAACCCTCTGCCAGCGAAAACGGAGGTTGGGAGCTCCATTTTCACTGGCAGAGGCACCACGGGCCAGTCCTTCCTTGTTTCCAGGGTGGCTCTGTGGTCCGGTTCTAAGCACCCCATGGGCCAGATCTGGCCTGGGGACCTTGAGTTTGACACCCATGTTCTAGACAATGACATTTGGGATATTCAGATCGATCCCCATTCTGGAAGGCACAACTCTTCCTTTTCATGCCTGATTATTTTTTTTCTTTTATGAAAACCCCCCAAACGCATAGAGGATTCGGCTTTCTCTACAGTGGTTCCCACAAGCTCAAGTGCATACAAGTCCTCACAATAAGCGAGGGCGAATCTCACCATAATCTTCCCAAAGCTGCCTTTGGGAATGACAATTTTGTGCGAATAGATCTCAATGGAGATGTCCTTCAGCCAGGAGACAGAAGAACCTCCACGATTCTCATTCTTGGCTTCCACGCTGAAGAAGGGCAAGCGGGATCCTGGCCAACACTGCCTGGCAAGTAAGTAGGAGCAGGACCCTTGGAAGTGGAAAAGGAAGCCGTCGAAGGTATGGTAGTGCGGATCTCCGAAGATGACACATGTGCTGCTCTCCATCGACACACACTGGAAGAATTTGTCCTTCGCCTCGCAGATTTCATACGGGCCACAGGACACCTCCTGGCAGAAGAGTTCATTGTTGAAATCCAGGCAACGGCACTTGGTGGAGCAGTTGACACTTTCCCAGAAGATCTCCCCTTGACGGAGAAATTGGCCTAAAAGAAAAAAACTATAGAATCAAAGTCATCTTCACATCTATGGAGATTCTTAGTCACCCAGGTCATGGTTGTCCCAAAAATGCTTTTGCAAAAGGCAACTGGACTTTCTTCGTTTTTTCCTTGAAGACGTTTCAATTCTCATCCAAGAAGCGAAGGGGGAAGCATCTCCAAGGAAACAAAAAAAGTCCAGTTGCCCTTTTGAAAAAGCACTTTTGGTACAAAAGGTCATCTTCACTGTTGAAAGCAAGAATCATCTTCATTTAATGACCCCCATAATCCCTTGAGGGGTGGAGTCTGGGCAACTGAATCAAGCAAGCTGAGTGTTTGAATGGCCGGATGCCCTTCCAGTCACCAATGCGGGGTTTGTTGAAAGCAAGAACCCGAGGTATAAATGAGAAGATAAATCAAGAAAGATTAGAATTTTAGATTCCTTCTAGAAACAGGGATGACATGTTCCTGTCCGCAAGTCCATTGAACCCAGGTCAATCTGATTTGCTGTCTACCAGGGTTTTTTTTGCAAAAAGTGAAAGCATAGATGACCAGAACTAGGGGCTACTCTTAGGCTTCCTATGGAGGCCTGGCTTTTTGGGATCCCAGTTTCCATTATCATTGCCATATTTACCTTCAGTGAGACAACACGTTGCCCTCTCTGAAGGAGAAAGTGGTTTATTCCATTAGCCCCTGTTCTATTAATTTTGCAAGAGAGCCCTGATTTAAGTACTTTTTTTTTATTATAATCCTCTGCCATACATGAATCATTGCTGCAATAGGCTGAAACCACTTTAAAACATTGGAAAGTGTCCCAAAGAGCATTAGACAGCACTCTTTCAGTGTGGGATGTGTATATTAGAAACTAGTAGCTATAATTGCTGAGGCTAAAGAACGATCACAAAGCTGTAATGTGACATATTAAGACACGTTGCCATCAGCATAGCATATGCTGTTCATCTTATCTCTACTGCATTTGCATCATCGTATTTCCCATATATGTGTGATTTCGTCAATGCACCAGGTCTGCTAAACCAGTGGCCCCCAATCTTTTTTGTGCTGCGGCCCGGTACCGGCATCACAAAATCATCCGCGGCCCAGTACTGGCATCACAAAATCATCCGCGGCCTGGTACCAGCATCAGCACGCATGGCAAGGCGAGCCGAGCGACCGGCCAGCCAGCCGTCCCCCGCTTCTCCCCGCCACCTTCAACTCCTCCTTTGTACCTGTGTCGATGGGCTTCGCTACGGCTTCGGGACGGTCGCTCGGCTCGCCTTGCCATGCGTGCTGAAAGAATCCTCGCGCCTTAGTTTTGTTCGAAGCCACCCCCCCCCACCAATGAAACTAAGGTGCGAGGATTCTTTCAGCACCCAAACGCCGCTTTCTACCCGGAAAAGCTCACCGGAAGCACTTTTTCATCAAAACAAGATGGCGGCGCCCAGCAAACCGGTGGCCTGGTAGAAATTGTTCCACGGACCGGTACCGGTCTGGGGACCGGTGGTTGTGGACCCCTGTGCTAAACAAATCATACCTGGTTAATGCTGGGCAAGGGTGACCATAGACGCTATAGGCCAGTGGATGCTTTAAAGACCTGTGGACTTCAACGTCCAGAAATCCCCAGTCAGCATGGCTGGCTGAGGAATTCTGGGAGTGGAAACCCACAAGTCTTAAAGTTGCCAAGGTTGGACCCCTCTGCTATAGGCTAAACTTTGTACTAAAGATGGTGACAGGATCTAGCTGACCTTGGCTGTTCTTGGCAACTTAAGCAGGGATACACCTGGTCAGGGCATGAATAGGAGAAATCCCAAGGTTATAAAACTAGTTGCGGAAGTCAGAAAACCATCTTGGAAAAAGTCAAGGTTGTATCAGAACAGCTTCCAAGGAAACCACATCAGAGGTGGTATTCAGGTTCTGACCAGTTCTGGAGAATCGGTAGCAGAAATTTTGAGTGGTTCAGACAACCAGCAAATCCCACCTCTGACTGGCCCCGCCAACCCCATCTATTCCCTGTCTCCCATTGAGTCCCAGCTGATCGGCGGGGTCTTCTTTGGTTGCCCTGCACAGGACAACGGAACTGGAAAGCAGATTTGTGGGGTGGGGAGGGAATGGATATTTTGCAGTATCCCTCCCCTGCCACGCCCACCAAGCCACGCCCACCAAGCCATGGCCACAGAACTGGTAGTAAAAAAATTGTTTTAATCCCACCACTGAACCACATCCATGAGCCCCAGTGGCGCTGCGGTTAGAATGCAGTACTGCAGGCTACTTCTGCTGCCTGCCGACTGCCTGCAATTTGCCAGTTTGAATCTCACCAGGCTCAAGGTTGACTCAGCCTTCAATCCTTCTGAGGTCGGTAAAATGAGGACCCAAAATTGTTGGGGACAATATGCTGACTCTGTAAACCTCTTAGAGAGGGTGCAAAACACTGTGAAGTGGAATATAAGTCTAAGTGCTACTGCTATCAAAAATCCAGCTTCAATCAAGTTTTTCTACTTTCTCCCTTCAATAGAGCTTCAAGGTGTTAAGGCTCTTTTCCTCCACAGGCAGCAAAACACTGTCCCTGCCCCAGAAATTCAGGCAGCATCCTCTCTAAATATAAAATTGGAGATATAAATCTCATATTTATATCGCAGGGCACTGACAACAGTTCAACTACAACTATGGTTTGGCTGGCTTCTAAAAAAACAACTCGGTGGATGCAGGGTGAATTATATCCCAAGCATGCCATGGTTGCTATAACTTAATTCTATTAATAATGGGTGAATTACATCTGCGGCTCAAAGGGTGTTAATTGCCTCCTTAGACTCGTTTTTCCTTCCATATGAATTAGCACTAATTAAACATCAAATAATGCAACTTTGGAGACTTCATATTTTACAATAGCCATGGCGGTTTTGACTGTATCTCTTAATGAGATGGATGTCTGCCTCTCTGTCTTACACATAGCTAATTGTTACACATACAACGTATTGTTTATGCCGGTAATCATCATTATAAAACAAAGCAAGAATAGAATGTCTATCATGATGTGCTTGACAGAGATTGCGGTAACTTGCTGAGTAAAGATCTTTGGTTCCTGTTTATTTTTAACGATGGCCTTTTGAAAATCTGAATTAGACGCCTAAAAACTCAGAATTCTGCTCATTCAAAATGCGAATTTTATATGCAGCTCATTCCATTCAGATCGTTGGTTCCAGATCTGCCTCATTTTGTACTTGACTCCAAACTGACTGATCCCAAGACTTTCTAGATCTGATCATCTCTCCCATTTCTTACTCCTTCTCTCCTTTTCAGTCAGTCACCTTCTCCATCAGCTTGCTTCCTTCCTTCCCTCTTCTATCCTCCTCACATAAAGCCCCTGTGATGGCCCAGGGCGTGGCACAAAGTAAACACAGTCAGGTAGGCAAGAAGAGTCCTTTTATTATCGCCAACTTTGCCCCCAATGTTCAGGTTACTTTCTGGCTGGAGACAAACTCTCTCTGGAACAGCCTTTGACTGTAGAAAATTCAGTCCAAAACAAGGTACACACAAACTGTAACTGAAGTAATTAGTTTGTCAGGGCAGGAGCAAGAATTTCAAACTTGAAAACACGGCAAAACTTACCCAGTTGGGAAAATGCCAGGAACACAAATAAGCCACGATGATACAAGATAAAGCCACGTTTGCTCTCAACAGTTTGCTGTGCGCAGCTTGCCTTTTTTATACACTGTGTTCCCAGCTGCAGCTAATGAAGGGGATCAGGGCCCTTTCCTGCCCCGTAAGCCATGCAACCCACATTGCTCCCTTCTCTGTTCCTCCCTGCATACCCTAGGATGAAGAGGGGATGGGCCTGGATCTTCCTCTGAACTCCCTCTCCCTTGTTCTACCTTTTCCCTGCTCTGCCCAGTTGGACTTCGTCCTTCCCCAGTTTCCTCCACAGCCGACGGAGCCACACTCCCACTCCCTGTCAGCTGTTCAGCTTCCTCCTCAGATTCAGATTCCGACAGGGGCATGACAGCCCCATCAACCTGCGGATAAAGTTCTTCACACGCTTTGGGCTTGCAGTCAACTTCAGCTCCAACGTGTGACCCTGTGGTGGATCCACCTCAAATATCTCCATAATTTCAATTTGTTTTATATTTGCAAGCATCTGGTTGTGCAAATGATTCTGGTGATAGCAAAAATCCTTTTGCTTTGTAATCTTCTTATTAATGGAACTCTTTTGATGAAATTAAAAACTCCAAAACAATTTCAATACTCTATTCCACCCCCCACCCCCCGTCTTTTAATGACCCCGCATCGGGATGGAGTCAGGGCAACTAAATGGAGCTGAGTGTTTACTGGCCGGATGCCCTTCCTGTTGCCAATGTGGAGTTCACAGCAGATGGTTTCTCATTGTGCCCAGAAGAGAGAAATATCTGCCTCTACCTAGGATCAAACTCACAGCTTCCTGATTGTGAGGTGAGAGCTCCACCTCCAGGCCACCGCACCACTCAGGGACTAGGATGCTATAAAAGTTCATAATTTAGAAGTGGGGAAGAATTGGAATCCTTCCATCACCACCCCAGAGGCAGACAAGTCTCCTCTTATTTTCCGAGCAGTTGTATCTGCAAAGAGAAGATGAGCAGGCTCTCCAGGTGGCTATTTTAAAGACCTGACACAAGAAATTTTAACTAGCAGGCAACAATGGAAAAGAATAACTTTGTTTTCTGTTGAAAAGGACTCTGCATGCTGCAGAATCTAAGGGCATTTCAGGCAGTTGTTTTGAGACTGACTTTATGACATCTCTATTTCAACATCGCTGGTGTCCAAGAGAAATCTCTATTACAAAGCAACAGAGCTCAGATTCATAGAAGAAATGGAGAGTTTGCAACTGGACTCAGTAAGAATAAGGAATGGTTTTACTCCTTTACTTACTCCAAAGTAAAGTTGCCTCCATTGTACCTGTTCTTAGCCAACATGGGTTGTCCTTGTTGTTGTTGTTTGTTGTTGTCTGTTGTCGGTTGTTGTTTGTTGTTATCCACAAAAATGACAGTATACACAGCAGATGAGATAACCATGCTGTGTTTCGTATCACAAATCATTAGTCTAACACTTCCCAATTGTTTAGGACTGCGTGATGTATTGGCAAATTATGCGAGCAGATCCCAGTAAGGTGGCCTTCTGCAGCTGACCAAGGGTGATCTTGTCAATTTTTAAGTGCTTGCCTAGGTCTTTAGGCAAATTATTATTATTATTATTATTATTATTATTATTATTATTATTATTATTATTAATAATAATAATAATAACAACAATAATAATAGTAATAGTAATTGTACAGTCAGCCAGATGTTCAGACTGGGTTTGGCATTTTTGTCTCCCTATCGAGTCCTTACCAAGGACCTGGGATAGGCAAATCTGGATGTTTGATGGTGATACAGATATCACCGCAGGATGGAAGCTGTTCCAAGGACAGCTGCCTTCTGCAATTGACGGATGGCGCATTTGTCAATGCCAATGATGGTGTTCGAATGGTGCTCCAGTTGTTTTCAGACTGCACTCAAGGCGCCTATTACGATTGGTCCTACCCTTGCTTGCCTTTGCCATAGTCGTTCTATTTCTAGTATCATTGTTGATGTTGTTATTGTTATTATGACAACCCATCTCCATGCTGGGACTTGATGTGGTTTCTGGATGGCCCCCCAAATCGATGGAACTTCACCTCTCAAAATTCTGCAGCCAGGTTGGCCATTGTAAAGAACGTTGGGAACTGAAATTTACACACCTGGAGATTGGCCAGGCTGAGGAAAAAAATCAGATTTGTCGCGAGAATAAAATGGATAGTGGTTTTGAGGTCTATTTTCATGAATTCACTTATGGAAGGTGATGATAATAATGACGATGATACTACTAATAATAACAACAACAAGGAATTGGTTAAATCTGTATTTCACCATTCCATTTGGATTTTGGATTTATTTGGATCTACAAGAAATGGATCACATTGGGGTTACGTTTCTTGGCTAACTGGCGGTGTGCAATACTTAAACATCTTCTCTCTTGCAGCCAATGGAACCAATATGCTGGTATCACAGTAAATGTATTAAAACATTGCCATATTCTTGCCAGACCTTTTGCTCTGATAGAGTAATACAGTTTACCCATGCCCCTGTTCGTTATTACTAGCACAGATAAGAAGTGAGGGAACAATGCTTTACATAAAACCATTTTTAAAATAATTGTGAAAAGCTCTTAACAGCCTCAGCTAGATTTGTTCTTCATTATCTGGCATAGCAAAATAAAAGGCTGAATGGCACTTTATACCAATGACAATCAATGCTGATGGATAACACCAAGAAATGGCAACAATATCGCACAAACTCCCACGAAGAGCTACCATTTTCAGATCCCCCCTCACCCAGGAATTCTTTGAAGAAGAAAAAAAGTCACATTGCTCTTGAAATTCTGTTTGCGTTTGTCCTAAGTAGGAATCCCTAAGCAGCAGGAAGGGGTTATATGTTCAATTTATAGTTTGCCTTTCCACGCCGAAGACAATCAAAACATGCAATCCCAAAAGGAGAAAACTTAAACAATCCAACACCTAAAGTCATTATTAACCCATTTCAATTTGAGAAGAGGTCACTGTGTTGCTTTGCCAGCTTGAAGAGTTATCCACGGAAAACCCCTCTCCAGTGTACCCAAAAATTAATTTTATTTGCTAGTAGCCAGTGGCAGTTCTATTAAGCACGTTAGAGGTACTTAGAGTGCTGATGTGATCTAATAGATGAGAATCAGAGAAGAATGTTGCATATTAAGCATTCAGGGAAAGTGGAGGTGGTATGAATCACTGGATATGCAGACAGTGCCTGGTTCCATCTTGGCAAAACTGTCTGGAATCTAACAAAACAAAACAAAAACCCACCTGCTTCTACATGACCCAAGCAGTTTCCTATACTTGCTTACCTCTAAAACTGCATCCATTGGCTGGATCAATCTCCCTACCATCAATTTTGAATACCCAACGACCTGGCACATTGACATTGGTGGTCTCTTCGATGTTGACAATGTCTGGGGTTCTGGAACCAGGAATGCTAAAATAGTTGGTACTGTTTCCACCGTTGAAGCCAGCCTAGAAGACCGAAAAGAAGAGAGTCCCCTTTAAATGACCTGGAACTTCACCTGACGAGCTTCATCTTCGATGCTTTTCTTCCAACCGACATCATCCTCGGTACCTTGAAGACAAAAGATCTGTCACACCTTAACCTCTCACCCAGGGTGGGATTCAGCTGATTCAGACCGGTTCGAGTGAACCGGTAGTTCCGGCGATTGGTTGGCCTCGGCCACCCAACCCTGCCCTAGTCTGTTCTATATTTCTACGTTTTGCAGCTCAGCTGATTTGTGCAACGCAGCAGATCACCACGTTTTAGCTGTTTTACTCGCCGGGGCTGTAGTAGAAGGAAAGTTTTGGAGCTGAAAATGGGCGGTTTTCAAACGCTGCGCATTCGGTCACTGGTTATACCGGTTGAATCCCACCAACTGCCTCTCACCATTGTAGTACGGTAGAACCTCAAGTGGCCCGGAGACCATATAGTCAATGTCATGGACACTTCAGGCTCTGAGAACTATGGGAAGGAAATAGCTCTCTTCTCCCCCAGACCCAGAAATTACAGGAAAAAGATGTCACATATTGTGAGCCCTTGGTGGTAGTCCAGGCAAGAAACACTATCAGGAGCACCAGCATAATTTTTATTGTAAGCGACATGAATGGAATCTTGCAAGGTTGAAAATTTCTCCCCTCCTCTCTTTTTAGTCTCCAGAAAACCAGGGAGAGTCCTTTGTGAAGTGCTTCTCACATTCTTCTCCACCTGCGGATTGAGCTGCCTCTTATCAAATTGTTTCTGTGAGTCTTCCTCCCTCTCCCAAGGTCATTCCCACATACCATCACAAGTATCCCCTTTCTGTGTTAATTAATGGAGTCAGGCAATCTCCTTTGCATTATAGTGCCTTTCCCCCCCCATCTGGCCAGCAATAATAGAGTGTGTCAAATTCTTCATGTCAATAATATTGAGATACAAAAAGGGTTTTGAAGCTGAAACTTTCTTTCCTTAGAAGGGACTGCCAATTCCAGGGATATTGAAAATTGTTTGAATTTCCACATATTGATTTCAGAATCCTTTGCACATCTCTAATGCAAGCGATTTTACAAGGCTTGGATTATTGTAAACACAGACTCAGACGATGATAATCGACTATCCCATGATTATCCAAAAGAACGGTTAAATCTCCTGGGTTCCAAATTGGCTATTTAGTTCTTTATTTTCTTGGCAAAATACAGGTAATCTTTTTCCAGGGATGCTGCATACAGAGCTGTTGTGTGAATAGGAAGCCCATAATGGTCATCTAATTATCCTACCTGGGCCATCACTCCACCGAGACCAGTTAGAGGGTCCCCTCCACTCGCCGTTCCAGTGGTCCAGTTAATTTCTTCATAATTGAACATGGCAAAGGAGGATGTTCCATCCGAGATAAGGAGCGCTTGGAAAGTGTTCACCTGTTTAAAATACAACTGTTTAATCAGAGACCAACTCTTCTTTCTAAAGGAAATTACTTTTTGTTCAGAGTATTGCAGCGTAAATCCAGCACCAGAAAAGTAAACACAGATGACTGAGGCTTCATTTAACTTCTTTATAAATACATAAAGTAAATTTTACAATACCAGTTGTAGATTTCTCCAACATGGAGCAAACTCAAACAGAAGCAGATATGTTACAGGTTCAGAGCAAAACTGCAAACTCAGGAACTCAGAAACAGACATCAGTTTCGTTTTAGTTCAGCAAACAAGCAAGCACGTTACTTTCTCTTTCACTTTACAGCTGAGCACAGAACAGAGATAAACCATGCCCACATTCTCACTTTAAGTTTCAGTTCTTATTGGCTGACCTTGTTACTAAGCTCTATTCCAGTTCATGAATATACTCTGACGCTTTTCAAAACACTTTTTTTTTAAAGTGGATTTAGTTCATCTAGTTTCTGAACTTGAAGCCAATTTTATAAACCTGAATTATGTTAACTTTCCAGGGGGGAAGAAACTCATTAATTCCTTTAAAAATAAACCTAAGCGGATTTTAAAATGAGAAAGGCAAAACGGGTTAGGGAAATAATGCTGAATTTTGGAAAACAAGAGAGAGAGAGTCAGTTAATCCCTCCAATGTGTCATAACTGTGGCTCGCAGTTTGTACGGGTCTCCTGCCTACCCACATACCTTATACTGAAATAGAGTTTTCATCCAGAAGAAAGAAAAAAATAAATTAATAAAAACTTCCAACAGCAGATCAGATCCCATGTAACACGCATATAATAGACGATATATCTGGTCAAAGAGTTATGATTATCTAGTGTGAACTTATTAAAGAAGCCCCTATCATTCAGCCTTTGAGCCCAATGTCATCATCCACCGGTCTCGACATCTGGAATGTCACCTCAATGAAACCTTCACCGTTTAATGACTTTATCCCTTGCATGTCCTTTAGATGGCAGTGTTAGAGTAAGAACAGGAAAAGCACGAATAAAAGTTTGTTCAAACTTCCACATTTATCCACCCAAGCTTGTATCTTATTTGGTTCTTTCCTCTTTGAAGATGGTGCAATAATGCCAACCTAATGCTGAGCACCAAAGAATGGAGGCCTTTGAGAAGGGCTGGAGAAGACTCCTGCGAGTCCCTTGGATTGCAAGGAGATCCAACTGGTCAGTCCCAGAGGAGATCAACCCTGACTGCTCTTTAGAAGGGCAGATCCTGAAGGTGAAACTCCAAGACTTTGGCCACCTCATGAGAAGGAAGGACTCCCTGGAGAAGAGCCTAATGCTGGGAACTAAGGAGGGCCAAAGAAGAAGAAGGGGACGGCAGAGAAGGAGGGGGCTGTATGGAGTCACTGAAGCAGTCGGTGTGAGCTTAAATGGACTCCAGAAGATCGTAGAGGACAGGAAGGCCTGGAGAAAAATTGTTCATGGAGTCACGATGGGTCAGACATGACTTCACAACTAACAACAACAAAATTTGTAGGATAGCCCAGGGGTCCCCAATCCCCGATTCGTGGACCAGCACAAACTGGTCCACACAAATAAGTGAAGACCTATCTATGGGATGTAGGAAGAGCACGAAACCACACCCTCTTCAGTCTATGGAAAAAAACACTCTCCACAGAACCGGTCCTTGGTGCCCCAACATTTGAGAGCCATTGGGATAGTCCACAGGATTTTATACTGAAAGCAATCCATCCACAAGCAGCAAAACCACCAGATCATATATATTAACAGAGGGATACAATCAAGATCAAGCGAAGTACTAATATCACTCTATAAAGCCTTAGTAAGACCACACCTAGAGTACTGCATCCAGTTTTGGTCACCAGACTATAAAAACAGTGTTGAGACTCTAGAAAAAGTACAGAGAAGAGCAACCAGGATGATTAGGGGACTGGAGACTAAAACATACAATGAATGGTTACAGGAACTGGGCTTGGCTAGTCTAGGGAAGAAAAGGACCAGGGGAGACAGGAGACCAGCCTTCTAGTATTTGAGGGGCTGCCACAGGGAGGACGGGGTCAAGCTATTTTCTAAAGCGCCTGTAGGCCAGACTAGGAATAATGGATGGAAATTGAACAATGGGAGATTTAACCTGGAAATAAGGAGGAATTTTCTGACAGTGAGAACAATCAACCAATGGAACAGAAGTTGCCTTCAGAAGTTGTGGGAGCGCCATCTCTTGAGATTTTCAAGAAGAGATTGGACTGCCATTTGTCAGAAATGGTGTAGGGACTAGATGACCTACAAGGTCCCTTCCAACTCTGATTATCTGTTAACAGTTTGTCATCGGTTTGTTCCAGATTTAATATCCATGTCTTAATTTAGTTACAGTTTATCCACATGTACAAATGCACAGTGATGTGGCACAGTAAAAGTGTGGGTCTGATTGGTCCTTGACCATCTCTTGTGGTGGTTGATTGCTTATTGTACCCCATGACTATTATTAAGTGTTGTACCTTATGATTCTTGACAAATCTTTTATTTTATGTACACTGAGAGCATTTGCACCAAGGCAATTCCTTGTGTGTCCAATAACACTTGGCCAATAAGGAATTCTATTCCATTTTGGATTTTTTTTTCCTTTCTATTTCCAAGCCACAAATTGTGCTGATCCCACTATTAAATCTAAATAGGAAAATATGGGCCAAGGGAGACATATTCAGTTCTGCTTTCTCTTGCATGCCCACAAATCAAAGGACAATCAGCCCCTCTCTCCATTTCTGATGTGTTTCCTTCCCTTGCATTGCCCTACAATGAAAGAAAACTGCCAATAACAAACACAATTTCAATAATTAAAGCGAGGCCATTAGATAACTGTGATTGCACTGTGGTTGCAATAAAACCTCTTGATACTAATATTTTCCTTATTAGTAGGCTAAAGATGGGATCGCGTTGTACTCTGAGGAGGCAGTTCCAACCCTCCCAGTCTGGGACTCGCTTCTTTAGGATGTCCTGGCTGAGCTTCAAGAGGGTCAGAGCAACAAATCAAAGTCAGTCAAGTCATTTTAAAATCTACTCATAAAACTGGAAGGTCAAAATAAGAATCAAGGAAGCTTAAAATAGTCCGACAGGTGATATTTCAAACCGCACCCACTCAAAGGCAGATGTAGGGTCAGAGTTGAGACACCTCAACCTCTGAGAATTAAACAAAAGGGGATTTCATAATGCCTACTACATAATCTGCCCGTTGCATATGGTCTGGAAGAAGTCCAGAGCCGTTTTGATGATGGTAGCTTTCTGTTACAGCCTCTCCATGGCAAGCGCTTATATAGAAAAATCTCATTATAGCCACCTGATGCAACAGCTTGGCTTCCCCCGCCTCACCTTCTGACCAACGGCTTTACTTGCTGAATTTAATAGCGTTATTACACCATTTGGAGCAATTAAAATCAGGTTGGTGTAGCAAGCACGCGTCGTAACTCCTGAAGCTAGTTTTACTCATTTATATTTAAGGGAGGTGAAGTAAGAAATTGTTATTCGGCTTTAAAAAAAAACAAAAAAAAACAGATCATAGGGGTTTTACATACGTGGTTTGGTTTTCCAATCCGGTCAATCAGTCCATAGATAGGAAAGGAGGAAGGAAGATCCTGTACCTTCGCTAGGAGATTTCAACTGCTTCTGTTTTAATTAAGGTCTCTTGACCTTCATCGATTTGTGAGATTTTTAGTTAAGGCTTAGCTTTAGTTAAGGTTTGCTTTGTGAGACCCCACATCCCCTATCAGCCAGTAGGGAAAAGGACCACAGGAGGGCAATATTTAAATCCTCCCAGAGTTGCTAGCTTCTTCAGAAGCCAAGAGTAAAAACAGGAAGGACCTTAGAGGTCTCCCAGTCCAAGGGAGGCAAAAATCGACTGAGAGATTGAGGACAAATCCCACCATTGCAGACTTTGCCATAAACATGTATTGCAGAAACCAAGATCTACAGGCTGGGCTGGGCTGTGTCCTGCCAGCTGCAGGACTCGGACACTGAGAAGGTTGGGGAGGAACTTGAGCCAGTTCTGGAGCCTGGGGAAGGCTCTGATGATGCTCAGCGTCGGATGCAGAGATAGAGCCAGGACTGTCCGACATTTCCCAGCCACTGGAGAGGCAGCTGCCTTTGGAAGGTGAAATGAGTGAGGAGGAAGAACAGCTGGGGCCTGTTCCAGACATGCGTATGCACAGAGCTGTTAGGAGAGGGGAACAACGGTAGTCAGGGAGTCGTCTCGGGAAGCAAAGCACACATGGACGCTGCACGGCCCCTCTCTGGCTGGGGGAATAAATAGAAGGAAAGGGGAGTGGTTGTCAGAGGAGACAACAGTTGGTTTTTCTGAAGATTTTGCTCATTACGTTTCGTGCCGCAGAGACTGCTTGCCAGAACTTAATTTGCAGCCTTTTGGCTGGGAGCTCATGGCCTTGCAATTATTTCAAGGGACTGATAAGGTCTGTTACTGCCGTTAACTCTTTGAAGGACTATTGCCTGGACTTTTCACAATTCACAAGAGGTAAAAAAAAAAAAGAGGGGTTTTTCGCGACAAGGAGTCGGTTTCTTGCTTCTGCTAAGGCTGGGTCAGAACAGGCTGAATCCAGTTGGGCCTCGAACTTCAGTTCCATTGAGAAAGATTTGCAGCTGCCTGGCAAGGGAAACATTCATATATTGTAGTGGGAGGCTAACGCTCACCCAGCGTTTTTGGCCGGGCTTCAAATTGGGATATTACAATCATCCCACTGCTCCTTCCGAACTATGCATTTATTAAACAGACAGCTGTCTTCCGTCACCCCTGGAAAATAACCCATTCTCATCCAGGAAAGGGATGAGAGAGCAATACAATGATAATCCTATAAAAATGCAACGCCACAAACTGCAGCACTCTCTCTTTGAAGCGAACCCTGGCAGGTTTTCGTGTTCCTCTGCTTTCATTTCGGAGGCAAGCAGGGGCAGATAAAAATGGAAGCGGCTCATGCCCTAACCCTCCCGTACCGAATGCGCCCGATGCTATTCTTGCTTCCAGCTCCATCTTTGAACACGGGGCATAAAATACGGGGTTTTTTTTTTTTTAAAGCAAAGGGATCTCAAAAAGTGGTACATTCATGGGGAAGGGAAGACCAGGCGCTTGCAAAGATGTGTTTGTTTCTTGTCGGCTCGGTCACGGTGCTGTTATTCATATTTAACGTGATAGAAGAGAAGTAAAGATATATGGATGGGCTATGTAATTATAAGTAAATTTTCTATGGGGGTATCTCTTAATGGGCTTCTTGACAATTAGAATAAGAATAGAATAAGAATGGAATAGAATAAAAATAGAACAGACTAGAACAAGAAGAGAAGAGAAGAGAAGAGAAGAGAAGAGAAGAGAAGAGAAGAGAAGAGAAGAGAAGAGAAGAGAAGAAGAATGGAATGGAATGGAATGGAATGGAATAGAATAGAATAGAATAGAATAGAATAGAATAGAATAGAATAGAATAGAATAGAATAATAAGAATTAGAATAGAATAAGAATAGAATAGAATAACTTTATTGACACTTTGAATGTACGCTAATCGTTATACATTAAAAATGAAAGTTAGTTGCATACAGTTCTTAAGGGTCACCACCTCCAATATTACACTACTTAAACATGACAAGATAAATAAATACAAAATTATATACATACCCACATCTATTATATGACACAGAGACACAAAGAGGTTCTATCCTATTTTTTTTAAAAAGGAAACTACAGGTAGCCTTTTGCTTCTTAGAAGGTCACGTAACCCAGGGGCACTGCAACCGCCATAAATATGAGTCCATTGCTATGCACTTTAAGTTTGATCATGTGGCCATGGGGATGTTGCAACGGCCGTAAGTATGAAAATGGATTTCCCCGTAAAATATGCTTAAATTCAAAACTCCAACCTGCCTTGCAAAACCCAGAGAAAACTGCCTTCCAAGAAGTCACATTTCCCCAGTAATAACCTAGGAAGCACTTAGCTCAGGGGTGTCAAACTCAAGGCCTGGGGGCCAGATTGTTAGCCAGCAGCAGGTGTGGACAGGTGAGGAGAGCGAGGCCTCAGATGAGGGGCCAGGACCATTAAGGAGTGGACTGCTGCCTTCAGAGATTGTGGGGGCTGGCAGCAGTGATGAAGAGGTTCCCGAGGAGCCTGTGCCAAGTGCATGTGTACACAAAGTTGCTCGCAGGAAAGAGCAATTGCAGCTTGGGCTACTTGGGAGTAAGGCTGCAAGGTAATGGCCCCTCCTTCAAGAAGATAAAAGCCAGCTGTGAAATGAAAGTTCTTTGCAGGAAGCAAAGACATTTTAAAACTCAGCCTCATGGACATTCCAGTATCTGAATTTGGTATTTGAAGACTCTTGTGTTGTGAAATATTTCTTATCTGTGATTCTTGGCAGTCTTGCACAGTTTTGGTGAGGCTCATGCTTATCAAAGTTAATTAGTTTGTATCAGCCTTTTAACCGGGGATTGGTAAGAATCATTAAAAGGTTTCTGTTCCCTTTGGTTCATGTTTGTTTTATTGGACAAGGGTTTGGGTCAGAACACAGATGTGGCCTGCAGGGTGCTTAGATCTGGCCCGCAGGACCACCCTAAAAATAGCAAAGGACCAGCCTGCAGTGCCTTTGCCAGCGAAAACGGAGCTCGGGAGCCCATTTTTGTTGGCAGAGCACTTGGGTCACCCAACACGAGTGACATCAAGCTGACCATGCCCACTCCGGCCACGCCCATCCCAGTCCCGAAAGTCAAGCACAATCCCTGATGTGGACCTCAAAGAAATTGACTTTGACACCCCAGGGCTCAGCTGGTTTCCTGAAAAAACAGGGTACTGAATAAAATCGTCAGTATTTCTATCGTGCAGCCCCCTTCCCACGCGATGTGCCTCTCCGAATTCATCATTTTGGAGGTCTCATATATCTAGTCAACATCGCCGAGGGCTAGACATTATAGCGCTTAAACCTCTGCCCATTCTGAGAACTAATGGTTGAAACACGCCAAGGATACTTAACAGCGCTGCCTGTGCAATTCTTCATCATTACGTCGGTTACTTGTAATGTAGCTTAAATAATGATTAAACGAGGTCAGCAAATCAGGTATTTTTCATTCGGGGGGGAAAAAATATAGACTTCCATTTTCTCATCCTACCTTGCAAGATTTGAAAGAGAGGGGATGGCAGCCCAGGATTTATTTAATGTGGTGCAGGGAAGTTGATTCATCCCAATCCCCATGAACCCGCCCTGCTTCCTCAAAATCTTTTATAGATTTGTCAGGGTGATGTCTCTGTTTTATTTGCTATCCTCCATGGATCGGCTGAGATCGTTCACCGTTCACTCATCGGCACGCTAAAGAAGGCACCCATCTTATGCCCTACTCTGGAGAATATAGTTGCAATGAAGCTACTTTTGCACAGATTGTCACAACCAAATGACACAAGACACAAACAGGGTGGGGTGGGAAGGATTATCCAGCATGCTAAATCCAAAGCATGAACTGCTCCGAGTCCCCTTGAACTCCAAGATGGGCTAAATAAATAAATTTTGTAAGTAAATAAAACTGGTTAGCAAAACAGCTGTGAGATGCACAGCTAACAGAATAACAGAGTTGGAAGGGATCTTGGAGGTCTTCTAGTCCAACCCCCTGCTCAGGCAGGAAACCCTGTACCATTTCAGACAAATGGTTGTCCAATGCAGGATAACTTGGGTATGTCTAGTCTGATGAAAAGAAGGACTAGGGGAGACATGATAACAGTCTTCCAATATCTCAGGGGCTGCCCCAAAGAAGAGGGAGTCAAGCTATTCTCCAAAGACAGGACAAGAAGCAATTGATGGAAACTCATCAAGGAGAGAAGCAACCTAGAACTAAGGATAAATTTCTTGACAGTTAGAACAATTAACCAGTGGAACAACTTGCCTCCAGAAGTTGTGAATGCTCCAACACTCAAGGTTTTTAGAAGAGATTGGATAACCATTTGTCTGAATGGTGTAAGACTTGCTGCCTAAGCTGGGGATTGGACTAGAAGACCTTCAAAGTCCCTTCCAACTCTGTTACTCTACTCTACTCTACTCTACTCTACTCTACTCTACCCTACCCTACCGTACCCTACCCTACCCTACTCCACTCCACTCCACTCCCTATTCCTATTCCTATTCCTATTCCTATTCCTATTCCTATTCCTATTC